CGGAGGCCGAAGCTTCAGTACATGGACATTATATTCGAACCCTGTGGCCCAAGGTGCCCCCCAGACCCCCCGAAATCAATATTGATGGCGTGGCGACGGGGGGGGCGTGAGTGGACAGAAATCCGCCGACCCTGTCGGCGTGTGGAAGAGGCTTTGTTGTTTGCTGCTTCTTCCTCGTCGTTCCTTTGTCCCGTTTCCCTGCAGCGTCGTCGTTTTTTGCCCGTTCCTTTTCCTCGTCGTCTCTGAATCAAAGGGAAGCCCCTTCCCTTTCTTCCCTTCCCCGCGCGAGGAAGGGGGTGGTCCCGTTCCTTTTCCTCGTCGTCTCTGAATCAAAGGGAAGCCCCTTCCCTTTCTTCCCCTCCCCGCGCGGGGGGGGGGGGGGTCCCGGGGGGGGGTAGCGAGGGGGGTCCTGGGTCAGATACGCCGCCCTCCTGGGGATCCTCGGTCAGAGGGAACACCCTTCCCTTTCTTTCCTTCCCCGCGCGGGGGGGGGGGTCCCGGAGGGTAGCGAGGGGGGGTAGCGAGGGGGGTTAGCGAGGGGGGTCCTGGGTCAGATACGCCGCCCTCCTGGGGCTTCTCGGTCAGATACATCGCCCTCCCGGATTCGCAATGTCGCCTCTGAATCAAAGGCAAGCCCCTTCCCTTTCTTCCCTTCCCCGCGCGAGGGCAGGGGGGGTCCCGGGAGGGGGTAGCGAGGCGGGGTAGCGAGGGGGGTAGCGAGGGACAGAGGCACCTGAGATGCCCATCAGACGTTCCAAGAGGCATCTCAAATTAACACGCCACTCTCGTGTTAAATTCTGCCCTTCGGGTCTTTGTGCCGACGACGACGACGACGACGACGAGGACGACGACGACGACGCGTGCGACGTCGACGACGACGACGACGACGCCGACACGAGGACAGAATTTAAAACGCCACTCTCGTGTTAAGTGCTGACCTTGGGGCCCTAGTGCCGACGCGACGACAAGGACGACGACGACGCCGACGAGCGCGACGTCCACGACGTCGACGCCGACGCCGACGACGACAACGACGACTCGAGGACAGAATTTAACACGCCACTCTCGTGTTAAATTCTGTCCTTCTGGTCTTTGTGCCGACGACGACGACAACGATGACGACGAGGGCGACGACGAAGCGTGCGACGTCAACTACGACGACGACGACGACGACGACGACGACCACGGACGACGAAACGAAATTAACACGCCACTTTCGTGTTAAATTCTGTCCTTCGGGTCCTTGTGCCGACGACAACGACAAGGACGACGCGTCGTCGTCGCGACCACGGGAGCGACGACGACGACGACGACGAGGACGACGGACGACGACGACGACGACAGGAGGACAGAATTTAACACGCCACTCTCTTGTTATATTCTGTCCTCGGGGTCCTAGTGCCGACGACGCGGACGACGACGACAACACGAGGACAGAATTTAACACGCCACTCTCGTGTTAAATTCTATCCTGGGGGTCCTCGCGCCGACGCCGACGACGACGACGACGACGCCGACACGAGGACAGAATTTGACACGCCACTCTCGTGTTAAATTCTGTCCTGGAGGCCCCGGTGCCGACGGCAACGACAAGGACGACGACAACGACGACGGGTGCGACGTCGACGACGTCGACGTCGACGCCGACGCCGACGACGACACGATGACAGACTTCAACACGCCACTCTGGTGTTAAATTCTGTCCTTGGGGTCCTTGTGCCGATGACGACGACGACGACGACGATAACGGCAAGGGCGACGACGAAGAGTGCGACGTCGACGTCGACGACGACGACGGACGACGACACGAGGACAGGATTTAACACGCCACTCTCGTGTTAAATTCTGTCCTTGGGGTCCTTGTGCCGACGCCAAGGCCACGGACGACGACGACGGGTGCGACGACGACGACGACGACGACGACGTCGACGAAGGACGACGACAACGACGACACGAGGACAGAATGTAACACGCCACTCTCGTGTGAAATCCTGTCCTTGGGGTCCTTGTGCCGACGACAACAACGACGAAGACGACGGGTGCGACGGCGACGACGGACAACGACGCCGACACGAGGACAGGATTCAACACGCCACTCTCGTGTCAAATTCTGTCCTTGGGATGCTCGTGCCGACGACGACGCCTAGGACGACGACGACGACGAGTGCGACAACGACGACGACGACGACGGCAACGACGGACGACGACGACAACGACGACGACGACGCCGTCGCACCTCCTGCGACCCCAGGCACTCACAAATGTCATGTACTGTCTGCCCCCAGTGTTGTAGTCCCCTGAAACGAGAGCTGCTCCCGAAAACCTCCTCCCGCATCATCCGTGCCTGTTTCTTCACCCCTCTCTGACAGCTTTCACTGTTCCTCCCCCACGTGTTCGTCGTCCCTGCCTGCTCCATCCATTAACTCCTGCTCCCCCTTCTCTACCTTTTCCATTTCTCCGCATCTTCATGCTCCTCTTGCTCCTCCTCCCACCTGTTCCTCCTCCTTCACTCCTCCGTCTCCTCCTCCTCCCCGCCCTCTCCCCCCCGTTTCCCTCGAGAGCCGATGCCTCCAGGGTCGGCGGCACAGGCCGCAAGGCCAGCGCAATATTCGAACCCCAAAGCACCGCCTTTACTGAGATCAACATTGATGTCGGCGGCGCGGGGGTGAATTAGAATCTCCCTCAAATGTGTAAGGGTTCGAATATATTGTTCATGTACGGTTGCACACCACCCCCACCAACATCCCTAGCCAGAGCTGCCCTGGGCCACCAGATGGTGAACAGCCGTCGCGATTCCGCAGGAGCGCTAAAAAAAATAACGATGAGGCTTTTCTGGCCACGCTGGGGCTCGGCCATGGAGGAGTTCCCCGAGCTGGATCGAGGGACAGGATGCAGGACAGGATGCAGCGCTGCGGGTGGTCCCGCGCCTGTGGCCCTGGAGGGCAGCCGGGCTCGCTAAACGAAAACAGCACCGAGAATCAATATGCGTAGCGCTCTCGGGGCCGCCCAGTCACGCGAACGCCCTCAGGTGTCCAATCCAGAAGCTTGGTGGGCCAACGCCCGTCTTCGCATTGCTGAACTCGCATTGGCTGCCCTAGGTCGAGGGAGCAGCCCGAAACCCAAAGCCCCTCCTGAGCCCAAAGTGGTGGTTCTTCAGTGTCCCCAGACCCCCGACGTCATGAATTTGTCATGACGTCGACCCCAGGAGTTTCGACCCCTTCCCCGGGACAGGTTTTTCATCCCGAGCCGTCTTTTGACGGTCCCGAGGCCCGGTAAGGGCCCCCAGAGGCCGAGAGCTGTCGAAAACGCCCCCTGACGCGTGGCGGAAGGTGTGGAGCGTACGCACACGCAGCGCCAACATCATCATCTGAGTCACCATCCTTTCCCTCCTCGACCTCCCTCGGCATAGGCTCGAGGGGCCTTTTTCGGCAGTGCGTTACCGCTGTTAGAGATAGCCCCCCCGTCGTGATTTCTGTCACTGCTCGAGGGGGTCTTTGTGTGTATGGGGTTGGAGTACAAAGGTACAGAACCCCCTGATCCGCTGGTAGAGGATAGGAGGGAAAGATGGGGATCTTTTCCTCCTGTGCGATCAACAGTCTGATCGATACAAATACCTGAGCCCAAACGGCCAGGAGCAGGAGAATAAGGAGTATATATGAGGGTATTACACGGGTTCTATTCACACGTTGGGCCTTGCCTGCGCACGGCCTCCGTGGCCTCGACCGGGGAGAGCCTGCGGGGCCGCGGGCGGCCCCTGGCCGGGCGGCGGTGGTGGCGGCCGCCTCCCGTGGGGCACGCGGAGGCCGAGGGCGGGCGCACGCGCGCTGCGGGCTCCAGCGAGGCCCGCGGCTCGGGGCCGGCGCGGGAGTTCCGACGAGCCCCTCCCGAAGCCTTCCCGGGGAAGGTTTGAGGAGGGTTTGGGGGGAGGTTTTCCTGGGGAGAAGGGAGCGAGAAAGGTTTCCGGAAGGCTTCTCCAAAAGCCTTCCAAAAGCCTTCCAAAAAACTTCCAAAAACCTGCCAAAAAAACCTTCCAGAAACCTTCCACAAAGCCTGAATCCAGAGGCCCTGAATCCACAAAAACCAACAAAGCAAAACACATCGACTAGACGTAAGGGCGACTTACAAAGTTACGAGTCTGGGGGCCAACACGGTGACACGCATCAGCCCCGAAGCCGTCCCAGAATAGTAGAACAAACGTTTACAACACGATCGAAAAATCTGTTGCTTCGCCAGGTCGCTTTCGCAGGAGTGACCTCGCTCCAGAGGCCCTGAATCCACAAAAACCAACAAAGCAAAATACTAGGGTAACAAAAAGTGGCATAAGCATAAAAACTCGGAGGTCCGCGCGGATTTCTCGGATCGGCGCTGGACCCCACTCCCTGGCGCGCGGAGCGCGCCAGGGGCGGCGCCAGAGGCGCCGCCGGGGGGCTTCAGCGCCGATCCGAGAAATCTGCGCGGACCTCCGAGTTGTTATGTTTCCCCTAAATACATCGACCAGACGTAAGAGTGACCTTTCGCAGGAGTGGCCTCTGGTGCGGGCACAGACGGGCCCCCAGAGGGCTGAGCACGAAGCAGCAGCAGCAGCTGCCTGCGCGCCCAGGTGTGGTCCCCCCGCGGCCCCCATAAAACCGCGCACCAAAAGACCCTTTTACCCAGGGTCACTCTTGCGTATAGCCGAATATGGACACACACACAGACACACACACACACACACAGACTTTTTGGCGCCGCGGCCTCGCGCGCAGCGCCGAGAGGCGCTGAGGGTCGAAGCGCGGAAGAGCGGGAAACGCGCGCGGCCGGCCCAGTCGGAAGCCAGGGACAGGGATCCACCCGACGGGCAAAACACACACACACACACACGCGGGCACAAAAAAACTAAAAGAAACAAATACAAGCTAATTATCAGTGACGATCTGCTTCATTCCGCCGGCTTCCAAAGGCCTTTTGCCTGTAAGACTGCCGCCGCGCTCCTTCCGCCTCCCTCCACCGGCCTTCCGCCGGCGCCCGCCAAAAGGCGAGGCGTGTGCCGAAGGGAAGGCCGTCCTTGGAGCCCCCCCTGTGCAACGGCCCCAGGCTCGCCGACACGCAAGAGCAACCCAAGGCAAGAGTGACCCTCGGTCCGTGGCTTGAAGGGGCCGCAGGCGGGCCACATCCAAGCGTGCAGGCCAGTGCTGGGGGGACCCCTGTGGGCCCGCACCTGAGGTCACTCCAGCGAAGGGCCACTCTTGCGCGTAGCTGACTGGCCCAACTCTGTCCTGGTCAGGCTCGAGAGGCGGCGCCCTTCGGGAGGGACGAGCAAGTAGGATAGCAAAGGGCAGGGTAGGAAATCAGCTCAGGCAGGTGTTTTTTCCTGGCGCCTCCTGGCGCCGGGAGGAGCATCCTGCATCGAGGAATGGGCCCGGCGGCGGGGCCGAAATCAGCTGCATGCAGTAAATTTCACAAACCCCGTTTTCCCCTGGCCCTACCCTTCCGTCCGGCCCCAACCCTCCAAGCGCACGCCGGCCTGGCCCCCGCGATGGTGATCGTGAGGCTCTGCGCCGTCATGCCGCGCGGCCCTCGCCGTCCGCGCCGCGGCCATCGCGGGCCCCCGCCCGGGGCCAGCGGGCTCGCCCCAGCGGGCTGCCCAAAAGGGCCGCGGCAGGCGCGGCGGCGGCCTGTTCCGTGCGGGGCACGCACGGGGGGGTGGGCTCCCCATACGGCGAAGCTGCAACCAGGAGGAGCGCCGAAGACGGTCGGGAACTGCCGCTTCGCGCGGCGCGGCGGCAGCCCAGCGACACGCTGTGTCCTGCGACCGGATGGCGCGCCGCTCCGCTTCGCGGGGCTGGGGGCTGGCAAAGGCTCGAGGCATCGGACGTGCGTCGGGTGTCGCGCCGACGCGTGGTGGGCCACGACCGTCGGCGCGACACGCGAAGCAAAAGTTTCCCACCGCACGGACCGCAGCCCCTCTTTGCGACACGCGAAGCAAAAGTTCCCGACCGCACGGACCGCAGCCCCTCTTTGGCCCCGCAAGCGTTTGGGCGCACGAGGAGCACGAGAGAGGAACAGCCAGGGAAGGACCCAGGGTACAGCGAGCCCCTTCCGAACTCGGCCAAGAGGGCGCATACACACACACACACACACCATCCTGGGGCCCAATATGGTCCTGGCCCGGAAAGGTGGTGGCGTACAGGTCCTCTCTTCCTGGGGAGGACGGAAGACTTGAATGCGCTGTATCACGGGTTCCAGCAAGTCGGGGGGGGGGGAAGGTGGAAGGAAAGAGGGAGGGGAGGGGATGGGGAGGGAAGGGGACGGGGGGGAAGCAACAGGAACCGGGGAAGGGGAGGAGGAGCAGGAGGAGCAAGTGGCCACGCTCATTGGAACCCCTGGGACGGCCTAACAGGAAAGCATTCCCCACATGTGCATACGGACGCATTTCGCACGTTGCAAGTGGCCGTCTGGATACATTGGTGGAGGTATGTGGAGGAAGCCGCGAACTCGCTGCAAGCGTGAGTTCAGACGCGGCGCCTCTGCTAAGCAAAGCCATCGGCCGTACGTAAAGTGACCCTTGGTGCGCGGCCCTCGGGGGCGCGGAGGGGGCCATACCCAAGCACGCAGGCCGCGACAGAAGTTTGCCAAACATCTCCACAACACTGGAGGATGCAAGACAGAATGTGCACCCGCGCTGAAGCCCTTGTCGCGCGCCCCTTGGTCTAGGACTGAGTCTGCCCACTTTCTCTGGCACCCCTGGTCCTGTCCGTCTCCAACGCTTCGGCGTATGGCTGGCGATTCACATCAAGACCCGCCACAACCAACCACACTGGGACGGGCCGACGCTGTCATGAACGACACCACCGTTTCCGACCGTGTGAAACAACATCCGTATGCGAAATCCAAATCGCCAGACTACGCGAAGCGGGCCCAGCGCAATGTGCACAGACAGTTGACCTGCCGTCGTCGACCTAAAGCCTGGCTTTTTGGCCTTCAGCGAAAAGAAGAAACAACTGCCCCCCGTTTCGTGACATCGCGGCCTCCCGGCTGACGCATTGGTGGCCATCCGCCGGGCGCCCCTTCTCTTCTTTGAACGGATGCCAACCGCGGCCCAGGGGCGTGAGCCACCTGACCCCTGGTGTCAGGCGTTCGCGGGACATCTCTCTCCAGAGGCCCACCCTGGCCCCCACGGTCTTGCACTCGCACTCGCGTCGGGGCCAAGCGACTCGCACTCGGACACGGCAACAAAGTCAGAACGCACCTGCGAAGCCCCCTATTTTGAGGCGACCATAAATCCTTTGTTTTGGCTGCTAGGGCCGAACGCCAGATAAGGCCAATATCAAAACGACAACGTCGCGTGGACGCTGAGCCCCCGCGCCGAAGTCCAGCTCTGGCGAGATGCTCGGCAAATAATCCAAACATTGCCAAACATCTCCACAACACTGGAAAATACAAGACAGAATGTGCACCCGTGCTGAAGCCCTTGTCGCGCACCGTTTGGTTGGTCGAGGACTGAGTCTGCCCACTTTCTCGGGCACCCCTGGTCCTGTCCGTTTCCAGCGTTTAGGCGTGTGGTGGGCTATCCTCAGCAAAACCTGCCACAACCAACCACACGCGACAAGCCGACGCTGTCACAAACGACACCTCCGTTCCCGACCGTGTGATGTGAAACATCAATTTGCACAACACCCAAATCGCCAGAATATGTCAAGCTGGCTCAGTGCGATGAGCACAGACAGTTAACCTGCCTGCGTCAACCTGGAGCCTGGCTTTCTGGCCTTCACAGAAGGGAGGAAACAACTGCTACTGCCGTACCGCATGCAACGAGCGGCAAGCCGCGCACCAAAGGTCACTCTTCTCCAGGGCCACATAGTCCCCATGACCCCTCCCGGAGTCCGCTCTGGCCTCAGGTCGGGCGTGTCCCCCGACAGGCGGTTTTAGGACGAAATATTAAAAAAATACCAACAAAAAATCCAACATTGTCAAAAGTGATCGAAAATCGTCCCCAGGCTATTGATTTTCTATTTTTGCATACTCCTCCTGTACAGGGACAGGCCCGACTTGACTCTGGCCAGATTTTCGAAGCGGATCCAGTCGTGGCGACAAGCAGCCCCCAGGAGGCCCAACGGGAACGACCGAGGGTTAAGTCGGGCTTGTCTTTCTACAAGAGGAATATTCAAAAATAGTCCAACAAATAACTGGAGACGATGTTTGACAGTGTTTGTCCAAAATCCGCCTGTAGGGGGACACGCCCGACCTAACTAGCCGTGGCGGCGAGAAGCCCCCAGGGGCCCAGCAGGGACGCACGAGGCCGAGAGGATCCGACGGCCCGCCCTGCCTCGCGATCTCTCTGCGGGAGGCGCGGCGGCGCCAGCCGTGGCGACGAGAAGCCCCCAGGAGGCCCAACAGGGACGAACGAGGCCGAGAGGACCCGACAGCCCGCCCTGCCTCGCGAGCTCTCTTCGGGGAGACGTAAGACTCGGGTACGGGGGACTCGGGCTGGCCTGACCGGGGTCATCATAAAAATTACGAGACCCAATCTGAAATTTGACGCGGCCTCCTGCTGCAGACATCCCACGAAAACGGGACCGTCAAAATCCAGGACGCGCTCGTCAACAAAAGTCTGCAAAAAGTCGGCAAACCCGAGAGGACCCGGCAGCCCGCCCTGCCTCGCAAGCTCTCTGCAGGAGGCGCGGCGGCGCGCAGAGGGCCTCCGCGACACCGCGCGTCACCGGCGGCCCGGGCAGCCCGACTCGGGATGCACGGTTTCTCCCGGGGCCGTAGGCGACCCGAGGAGGAGGAGGAGGAGGAGGAGGAGGAGGAGGAGGAGGAGGAGGAGGAGAAGGAGGAGGGGGATGAGACGGAAGGGAAGGAGGAGGAGGAGGAGGAGGAGGAGGAGGAGGAGGTGGGAGGAGGAGGAGGAGGAGGAGGAGGAAGAGGAGAGGAGGAGGAGGAGGAGGAGGGGGAGGGGGAGGAGGAGATGGAGGAGGAGGAGGAAAAGGAGGAGGAGGAGGAGGTGGAGGAGGAGGAGGAGGACGGGTCGCCTAAGCCCTTCGGAGAAACCCTCCAACTCGGGAACTGCTCAAGGTGCCACTGGCCCAAGGTGCCCCCAGCTTCCCGCTCGATCCCGTGGCCCCTGGGGCCCTCTGGGCCTCGCGCGGGGTGATCTCGAGCCCGTGGGCCGGATAAGGCCTCCTTGAGAATCCTGGCGGGCACCTTGGGCGATGGGCCGATTCTCCACCACCACCACCACCAAAGGGAGGAGGAGGAGAAGAAGGAGTAGAAGGAGGAGGAGGAGGAGGAGGAGGAGGAGGAGGAGAGAGGAGGGAGGAGGAGGAGGGGAGGAGGAGGAGGGAGGAGGAGGAGGAGGAGGAGGAGGAGGAGGAGGAGGAGGAGGAGGAGGGGGGCGGAGGAGGAGGAGGTGGAGGAGGAGAAGGAGGAGGAGGAGGAGGAGGAGGGGGGAGGAGGGAGGGAGGGAGGGAGGGAGGGAGGGAGGAGGAGGAGAGGAGGAGGAGGAGGAGGAGGAGGAGGAGGAGGAGGAGGAGGAGGAGGAGGAGGAGGAGGATGGGGGGTACCTCCCCGTCCTCCCTCTTCCCCGTCCCACCTGTGGCAGCGGTGGTGGAGCCTCGGCCCCTCAGTGGGCCCCGGGGGGCACTTCTGGCAGCACGCGACCGACGGCTCGTCACCGCTGCGGGCGGCTGGCGGGCGTGCTCGCCACGCTGCCCACGCCGTGCGGCCCGCTGCTGGGGGACACCGGGGCGGTGCCTGTGGGCGGCCGCGGCGGGCGGGCCTCCTCCGCCGCCTGCCCCCCCGAAGGGCGGGGCCCTGTCCCCAGACCTCCCCCGCGCTGGGAGAAAAATCACCATGGAAGGCCTTCCGCCATGTGCAGCCTCCGGGGGCCCTTCCCGGGCCTCGGGGCCGTCCAAACACGGCTCGGGACGAAAAGCACTGGTCGAGGGGGAAGAGGCCGAAACCTCTGGGGGTCGACGTCGTGGAAAAATCACGTCATCGGAGGTCTGGGACGGGAGGGGCCCTGTCCTCCGACGTCGCACCACTGTTCGTGCCGTGGGCCCCTGGGAGATCTCGGCCCTTCCCAGGGCCTCATCTCGAGTCGCTTCTGGCCCGTACCAGGGCCCGGAAGCGGCATCCAGGGGCCGAGAACGCAGAAAAGACGGCCGTCGCGATGCTGTGAGCAGGGACCGACCGTCCTGGCATTCCTATAGGCCTACCACGACATGTTCTTCGAACCCAAAAATGTTCTAAGAACAAAAACAATGTTCTTAGAACATAAACCCGATGGGTTAAAACAAGACAGCCCGATGTGTTAAAACAAGACGTCCCCAGCCCGAAATGTTCTGAGAACATGTCGCGCAGACCACAAAAGGTTCTCATAACATCCTGAGAGGCGAGCCAAGACGCCTCGCCACTGCTTGGGGGCAATGCTGCTGCGACGCCCGGAACTGAAAAAGGGGGAGCAGGCCCGAGCTGCAGTGCTTCCAGCCAGCAGCACTCTCCAGGCCCAGAGTCCTGCACACCTCCGGGCGTATGCCTCCTTGCCCGCCTGTTTGCTCTGTCTGACGCGTGGGCCCCTCGTCCTCTCGACCGGCTCCCCGGGGCCGGCCTGGCACCCCGAGTCCCCACCTCGCCCAGGCCTCTCCCGACCCCGTCCCCCAGGGAGAGCTTTTTCTTCGGCCCGGCTCCATGCCCGAGGAGTCGACACAGAGCAGCTCGTCGGAGGCCTGGGGTCGTTCCTTGACGGCCCGGCCTCCAGAGGCGCCAGATGTCCCAGAGGGGGGGGGGGAAGAGCAGGATCGGCAGTCGGGCGGCCCGGCAGGCGCTGGCCGGCGGCGAGCCCCAGGCGGTGTTCACGCGGTCGCGCCGAGCGGTGCTGGCAGAAGCCCCGTCGTCAGTCATTCGCTGGTCGATTGGTGGATTGCTCGTCACCCTCATCTTTCAATAGAGGCCTCCCAGATGGGGTCAGAGGCGATGGGTTCGGGGTATCGCGCCGCATCGCTGATACATTGGCGATGCATCGGCGATGCATCGGCAATGCCCAGGCGATGCATCGGCGATGCCCAGGCGATGCATCGTCGGCGTGGGCGATGCATCGACGGCGTCGACGCGAAAGAAATCGGGCTCCACATCGAGCCGCATCGGCGATGCATCCGCGATGCGGCGCGATCCTCCGACCCCATCTACTCCGACTCTATATAAGAGGCCTAGATCCGAGGGGAGGTGAATAACCAAAAAAATAATCCCTAACCCTTTGGGACGGGACCTAAGTTAGGAGGGCCAAAACATGAGGGATAGGGGGACTCTTCTGCAGATGTATCAGACTCAACCACCCAGATGTATTATTCCTGATGCGAAGACGGGGACCTCAGTGAGGCCACGTCTTCATCGTGTTAGCAGGGTTACCCATCGATCGGAAGAGGTAGGTAGAAACGTGAAGTAGGGAGGCGTTGAAAGCAGATTGGGTGTCCACCTGCCCCCTAAGGAGGACGGAACAGGTGAAGCCACTCGATCATTGAAGTAAGGGGGCGCTTTTGAAGCAGACTGGAATCTGGGAATCCAGAAATACCTACTTTCAACGACCGATGGGTTAGGGGACAATTTTGTGCTCGACGAGGAGGAGGACGAGGAGGAGAGGGAGGAGGAGAGGGAGGAGGAGGAGAGGGAGGAGGAGAGGGAGGAGGAGGAGGAGGAGGAGGAGGAGGAGGAGAGAGGAGGAGAGGAGGAAGAAGGGAAGGAGGAGGAGGAGGAGGAGGAGGAGGAGGAGGAGGAGGAGGAGGAGGAGAGGAGGAGGAGAACGAGGACGAGGAGGAGGACGAGGAGGACGAAGAGAGGAGGAGGAGGAGGAGGAGGAGGAGGAGAGGAGGAGGAGGAGGAGGAGGGGGGGGAGGGGGAGGAGGAGGAGGAGGAGGAGGAGGAGGAGGAGGAGGAGGAGGAGGAGGAGGAGGAGGAGGAGGAGGAGGGTCAGGGGACGCGTGTCTGTGTTCGACGAGGGGGGGAAGCGCCGACGGGCCCCCGGGCGCCTGTCCCCGCCGGGCTGAGCGCCTGCGACACGGTCCGCGAGGCGGGCGCCGCGCACGCCTTCCAGGGGGGGGGTCCTCCCCGTCGTCCTCGTCGTCGTCCTCGTCGCCGTCCTCGCCGTCCTCCTCGTCGTCCTCGTCGTCCTCGTCGTCCTCCTCGTCGTCCTCCCAGTCGTCCTCCTCGTCTTCGGGGGGGGTGGGCGGGGCGGCCGCGCCGCCCCGCAGGTGGCCTCGAGGCTAAGGCAGGAGAGCGTCGAGGATCGAGGGCAGAGGATCGAACAGACGAACGAACGCACGAACGAACGGGCCTCGGACCCCGCTGAATCGTCCACTAACAGCCCTCGCTGCACGCCAAGAGGATATAATTGATCCATTCCTTCATGCCAAAGGCTTGCTGTCACCATCCAGTGATCTGCTCCATACCTGGAGGGAAAGAAAACGGGGACCGTGACCAAGACTGAACGCGGAAACGTCGTGTCGATCGTGGTCACCGTCGATCCTGGTCAGCGTCAACTCGTGGATCGTCCTCGCGAATCGACGACGGCCGACATGGACCATGACCAAGATCGGCATCGACGAGATCCCGCGACAACCTGGCCATGGTCCCCGAATTGCGTCCCTCGAAGACCGCACCCTACCTCCACGCAGAAGGGGGAGTCGAGCGTCGAGGGTCGATGATCGAGGATCGAGGATCGAGGATCGACGATCGAGGATCGAGGGTCGAGAATCGAGGATCGAGGATCGAGGATCGAGGATCGAGGGTCGAGGGTCGAGGATCGAGGGTCGTGAGGGCCGAGGATCGAGGATTGAGGATGGAGGATCGAAGGCCGAAGGATCAGAGTAAACTTCGGTGGCAGCTCATGGGAGCCTCCCATGCACCATCTTGTCGGCTCTTGCGAATCGACGCTGCTCGACGCTGAATCGGCGCTGATCGACGCTCACGGACGCCAAACCGTCGCTATATATCGTCGACTCCCAGACGCTAATCGACGCTAAATCATCCGCGTTTGAATGGGAAGTAAGAGGGTATACCAGGTTTCCACGATTTGCTACCGAACGAGTATCGTTTAACCGATCCCCATCCCCAGCGGCGTGGCCTGGGCCCCGCTGGCCGATTTGCCCCCCTAGATGGGGATATATAGGCCGTTCCCCTCGGGCTTCGAGGGGCGTATCCCCAACTGGGGTGGTCATTTGGTGGGGGTCTCGAAGGGGACGGGGATGGGGATGGGAATTGGTGAACGATACCGAAACGAAGGCCAAGGGGTGGGACTCATGATAGGACTAAGGTAGGAGAGTTCCAAACAATACACCACCACCAGCCTAGGCCAGGCCCGTCCTGGGCCCTGGACTGGTGTACAGGCCCTCCTGGCCTAGGCCTGGAGGCCTATACACCGGTCCAGGGCCCAGGATGGACCTTGCCAGAGCTGGTGGTGGTGTGTATTTTTGGCGTCTCTCCGATAAGGAGGTGTCCCGCGACAGACCCCGTTTTGAACAGGATCAGCCCTCCGTCCTCGTAGCTGCTGAGAACGTTGAACAGCCATATCCGCGGCGCTAAAGGCGAGAGCCACATCTTGAGAACGACCGCTCCTCCACCCTTGCAGCTGTGGGAGTTTCAGCTTCAGGATAGCAAGTTTTAAAGGCACCTCTGGGAAAACGCCACGCCCAGCCCAGCCTGCGGACAAGCCCGGCAGCTCAACAGGGGAAAGTCTGTTATGAGGGAGAAGGCGTGGACGAAAATAGAGGATCAAAGATCCAGGTTTTCGGGCGCCTCTTTCCCTTTGTGGGTAGTCGGGGACCTCCACGCGGCCTCCAGGAAAGGGGAGAGCTCCAGAACGCCGAAGCTTGCAAAAGCTTCGAGTGTGCTGCCTCGTTTCGACTTCGGGAGGCGGGGACCGCTCGTGGCCACGCCCGGACGCAGCCTGGAGAACTAGTCAAGATGAGGTGCAGTTTGAGCGGAACTCGGCGGCCAGGCCTTGAGTCAGGTCGGGCATGTCCCCCTACAGGCCGACTTTGGCCAAAAAAATTTTAAAGAGTCCAGTAATATTCAAAACTGGTCAAAAACAATAGGAAAATCGTCCCCCGACCATTTTTCTACTATTCTTGAATATCCCTCATGTGAAGAAACCCGCCCGACTTAAAACTAGTCAAGATGAGGTGCAGTTTGAGCGGAACTGGGTGGCCAGGCCTGAGCTGGATCGAGTCACGAAATCGGATCGGTTCGGAAACTCATCGGATCGCCTGCGAATCGTCCCGAATCGGATCGAAATCGGATCGCCGCCCCCGCCTTCGGCTGGCTCCCTCCAATGCCGGTTAATCGAATCGAATCGAAATCGTGGCCCCAGCCAGCGAATCGAATCGCATCGAACCAGATCGTAGGCAGCCCTGTGGGCAAGGCCCGACGGGGGATCGGGGATCGAGGCCATGGGCTGCTCTCTTGCCATTTGAACAGACAGACAGACAGACGGACAGACAGACAGACAGACAGAAACACGGACGACGGACGGACGGACGGACGGACAGACAGAAAGGGAGAGAGCGAGACAGAGAGAAGCCGGCTGGGCCTTTGGGAGCTCGGGCGACATGGCCACGGCGGCCAGGATGCAGAGCAGCGCCAGAGGCGCGTCTGCGCCAGGAAAGGTGTGCACCACCAGGGCCTGCGCTCCGTCGTCGTCGTCGTCGTCGTCGTCGTCGTCGTCGTCGTCGTCGTCGTCGTCGTCGTCGTCGTCGTCGTCGTCGTCGTCTTCAGGGTCGGCGGCAACGGCCGTACCTAAGGCCTGTTTTGGATCGAGCAAGCAGGTTGGAAGTTCAAGGGCCCCGCCATTTTGGTTATCGCTAGCAACATCGAGTTAAACCTCACCGAGAACTCACCAGCTATGATCCAGAAACTGTTCGTGGCGGACCTCAAAACGCAGCTCCTGGACAAGGCTGTTCAACGTAAGCTCCAGTTCCCCGAGGACCCTGACGAGGACCTCCACCCCAGGGCCCAAGCTATCCGCGAGAG